TTTTTGCGAACAATTCTCGACAGGTTTTTACTCTCAAATAGATTTGCATCGGCGAAAAATCAAACTCTTTCGCTTTCACACCCACTAGGTTCTAATCTCCATTTGCGAGAAATAGTCTCGAGGATGAATCTCGAGGAAAAACTCTTTTCACTTTTAAATGTAAGACTACTTTTAATTCTTAAAGCTTGCACGAGTTTCTCTTCTTACAATGTTTCTTATTACAATTGAATATGCTGTATTGATGATGAAACTCTTCGAAAGCGACTCCATAAATTGATAAAAAGAAACGAGGAAACTTTCTTTGTCTACAAATTTTTTTTTTTGCAGACGAAGCATTACTCTTTATTTTTCTTTTTTTATTTTACAATTACAGTCGAGTCCCTTTTCTTTTCTTGTTTTTACCCAACAAAACGATGAGAATCGTCGTTTGCACGGGAATATCGTTCGCGTTAAGTGTAGCATTAAACTTAACGTGGCCGAAAATGCTACACTGTTCGTCGAAAGCGTTTGTGAAATGCATCGAGAGCGTTCATCACGAGTCTCGTGGCCGGAATCAGGACAGGTTGTAATGGAGACAGAGAAAGAGAGGAGCCTTTATAAAATTGTAGCTCGAATTTCAACGTCGCTTTGTTGCTTGGCATTCCTCAATGGCGGAATATCTTCCGGGTATTTAACTAATTTCACTTTGATACATTGACTGGATTTTGATGTTGCTCTTTTCTTTTCTTTTTCTTTTTTTTATTTTATATTTTTTTATTTTTCTGACGTTCTTTCGAAAGCTTGATAAATTTCTTGATAAATGAAACGTTTTTACGTTTGAATATACGTTAGAACGAGTTTTCATTTCGTGATCGATACTTTATTGTTCTGCTTGGATATTATTGCGTTTTTATTCATTTATATATATATTCTCTTCTTTCTTCCACGTACGAAAAAAGAACGATCACGAGCATTACAGTAATCTGAGAATATATAAAAATTTGCATAACAATTAAACTAAAATTTTTATACGGAAATATAGAAGTAAAGATTTTAAATATCAAAATATATGTATTCTATTTTGGACATTTTGTGTCTTATTGTGCATTCTATATTTTAATTTTTTCCCATAAATATATTATTTAATTCATAATTAATAATATTACATCAGTGAATAGAAGAATAAGAAGTTTTTACAATTTTACATTATCAATAGAATGATAAGTGTGTACGAAAAAACTGAAGTCATTATCGTAAAGAAAAATATTATAAATTTCAGAGATAATGAAAGTGCGGAAAACTTGATTTGAAATTTATTTCACGTATTATTAATCGGATTTAGCGGCAAGATTTTACTTGAAATCACAATGCGGACCAGTTTCCATGAAAATTCTTATTATTTATGCTAATTAGAGAACGGACGTGGCTCGGAACTAATTAGACGCACCTCCAATTTCCCTTGACTGGACGTGTTCGCTAGTAATTACTCTGACATCAATCAAGCCAATATTAAGGGGTGGTTACATGTGCAGCTACATAATATATATCATTACCAAATATACTGCACAACATATATTCCAACAACTGTTTCATCGATACACTGCT